TCATTACCCATTTAAGCCGTCTCCAGCCATTATTAGTCTCAAAGTGGGTTCCTCGTCATCGAATTTGAAATAGCCTAGGTTAGTATTACTAAAACTAGTAGATATAGCTTAGAATTTTGTTGAATAGTCAGCATGGTTTCACTACGAGTACGAGAAAATCTTGCACATCTTGTGGCATTGTTTGAAAATGTTTCTGCTTATATAGATGAGGGTAAGGGTGTAGATTGATGTATCTGGATTTTAAGAAAGCATTTGACAAGGTTCCACATAAAACTAAAAGGCTTGTAAAAAATTGTATCTAAACGTGTGGGAATAAGTTAGCAAATTGAATAGAAGAGTGTCTGGATGGAAGAAAGCAGAGGGTTTTAGCAATGGATGTGTTTGAAGGAAAACAAAGTGATAATAAACAAGATTACGACACTTATGATATACAACATTGTTTATTGATAAAAAGGGGACATAGATAAACATTTCAGGATTCTATCAGATTCCATCTTCAGTATCTAAAGCAAAATAAAATTAATTTACATAAGTCTTTAAACACTGCTAAAGTACAAATGCTAAAGTTATTTATAATTAAATAAATAAAACACAAAACAGCAATCATGAGGAGAAACTACAGCAAGAAAACACAATAACAACAAAAAAAAGTAAAATCAGTAATACAAACATATTAAAAAATGTATAATTTAAATGAAGACTGCACGTTGTTCATTGTTGGAGAGTGCTGTTTGATGTGGAGGATTTCTTTAATCAATAATTCCAGGTCAGTATTAGACTTGCAGAGGATAGAGTAATTTGATAGTATAGGTTGACGTCCTGTTTCTTCACTATGTTGGCACAGGGGTTACTCAATTTTTTTTTGCATTTTGATGAAAATTCCCATATGTTCATAGGCTCCACGTATCTTAATGTACACTCTGAAATTTCATTCTTACATGATATCCTGAAACATAACTGCTGCCCACAACACTTATTAGAAAACATTACCAACACCTTCCTAACAAAGAAACTCACAAATCCAATTAAGATACCAACTGTACCGAAACATACTATATACTCGTGTCTTCCTTATACTGGTAAACAAAGCTTAACTTTAAAAAAATCAAATTAAACACATACTTGGTCGTCACTACCCTCAAGTGGATTTCAGATTAGTTTTTAAATCCACATCATGCATACAAATTTTCTTCCCTACTAAAGATCTCTTCATTGTTCCTGATTTGTCTATCTTTACACGTGTGGAGACTGTAAGGCTTCCTATATTGGCAAAACCAAACACCATTTAAAAGTTAGAACCTATGAACATATGGGAATTTCCATCAAAACACAAAAAGAATTGAGTAATCCCTGTACTTTCTCTATATGCCAACATAATTATTTTTAATGACATACACTTCGTACCACATCCTTAACAAATGATTTACATTTAAATCCTTTAATGATGTACATTTCGTATATCATTTACAAATGCCACAAATAAATCATCAGCATCTTTTCTTAGCACTTTCCAGCAAATGTGATCTAAGTGTGATTGAAACAGCTCGGTGCTACTATAGCGTGCAGTCAGTGTAAATATCCCAGGTAGACTGCTATTATTCAACATCTGTATATGCTTTGTTTGTAGTGTAAAAGTCCCGGTAGACTGCACGCTATAGTAGCACCCCGAAATGTTTATCTATGTCCCCTTGTTGTTAATAAACAATGTTGTATATCATAAGTGTTGTAATCTTCTATATTATCAAGCAGAGTGTTGTTATAAATGGAGTTCAGTCAAACTGGATTAATCAATGTTACAAGTAGGGAACCTCAGTGCTGAGTCTTAGGACCTATAATCGTTTTTGACTTACATCAGTGATATAGATGAAGGAATGGTTAATAACTTAGTTAAACTTGCAGACAATATTAAGATCTTGGGTGTTGCTAGCTGTGAAGAAGATGCTGGTGATTTACAAAATAATTTAGATCATTTAGTGAGTTGGACAAATAAATGGCAGATAGGTTTTAATTATAATAAATGCA